ATTAAGTTGTTGTTTACTAATATATTACTATTTATATGTTGTTTTCCTATATATTACTATGTGGTTTACTATTAATAGTGTTGTAAAAAGGTTTTTAATAAAGATAAATTCTGAAATTACACTGAAATACTTTCACCTACTTCCATTTTTAAATATGGAATTTCCTTAAAAATTTCTTGCCCTAGCCGGACCCGGAGTTTTCACTGGCGGAGCTGGAGCTAAAATAACCGGAGTTTGCACAGCTCTATTACTTTTAGTTATATTTTTACATGGACATTTACAATTTGCAAGGCAAGCCGTTAAACCCAATTTAGTTCCCATTTATTACCTCTCATTTTTTTGTAATCCATGGGGGTCATATGCTCAAAGCCAACAGGTGGGACATCCCACAATGACTGGATCCTGAAGTTATACAATGTACAACATAAACATGTAAATATGAATGTCATGGGAAAATGTGGAACTTTATTAAAAACACATGCTTACTTTTTGCGCTTTGGTGGTGATGGTGTTCTTGACCTTAACAGGAAAATTGAGAAAAATTAGTCAACACTAAGCATGGTGTATAATAATGTGTTCTGAGTAGAAAAAAAATGGATGACTCCAGCTATAGATAAAATTTTGATCCAGACAAGGAGAACGAAATCCATTACCATAGCTGGAAAGAGCATCTTAAAATAAGTACAATTGCAATGTTTGGTTGCGAATTGTTGTAAAATGGGTCGTTCCAGAAAAGATCCATACCCCCCCCCCACGGAGGAAATATTTGCTGTCCGAAGGGGGAGGGAGGAAAAATGTCTTAGGATGTCAGAAGGGGGGAGAGGAAAAATGTCTTAGGATGTCCGAAGGGGGGGAGAGGAATGTGGATATGTTTGTCTGAAGGTTTGAGACTGCGATAAAGCTATGTGATCGGCGATTATAATGAGCACGCAATTTTTTATCGGCTATATGTAGCTCTTGAACACCGAAACGTTTATGTAACAGCAATAATTATACGTCCACGTAACTCGTAAGCAAAATAAGCGGCCCACTTTTGCATGCATGGCCACCAAAAACTAACTCGCTGTAACAGCGTATCCTGCATGTTGAGAATGAGTCGAAAATTGACACGCTTTATTTATATAAAAGTAAAGTTTTGCAGTTTTCGTTCGTATATATAAGTTTGAATTATTCAAGTGTGAAAAATAATAGTTATTAAACTGTTGCTCGAATTAAGAGACTGCTATGTGAACTGAACTCAAAACAATTTGTTTTAGTATATAGTCAATAAAGCTTCCTTGCGAGGTGCGTGTCTAGAAAATAGAAATGGCTTTCATATTAAAGGAATGCAGTAATACTAAAAAATGCATTAACATGTAAGTAAACACAGCAACGCTTGTCAATCAGTCGCAAGTTACATCAAATTTCAGTCCGAATTTTACTTGAACGAATTTCGAAGTGAATTTCTGCAAATTATCCGACAAAACCTGCCACGTGTTTGTGTTCGCAAGTCACAAGAAGCCGCCAAGTGTTCCGCCACGCCGGAGCTATTTGAAAACAGCGTAGAAAAGTCACAATAAGCCATCGCTAATCCACTCTACGCTGGGAATCCCGAAACATCGAGTTGGATTCGAGTTCGAGTTGGACTTCGAGTTATACTTCGAGTTATTTATATACCGGCATTTCCGAATGTTCCGGTAATTTCCGAACAACTCCGATTCTTGTTTACTTCTTCGAAACTCGTGTTTATAGTATACATGGGAATCCCGAAACATCGAGTTGGATTCGAGTTCGAGTTACTTATACACTGGCGTTTCTGAATGTTCTGGTAATTTCCGAACAACTCCGATTCATGTTTGCTTCTTCGCAACTTCAAATACGTGTTATTACGTTTATAAATATGGAGAATGAAACGTAGCAATGTAAATTTACTTTATTATAAATCCGGTTTTTATAATGAACTTTGTTGTACATCTTAATATACAGTAATTACTATGTATATTTTAGAAAAGAATATATTAAAATTTGTACATTTTAAGTATTGTTTCGTTCAAAATATGCATTCGAAACTATCAGTACTATTCTGCATATCCTCACACGTGGTATTAGGCATTATCCTTAATTGTCAAATTTGCTAAAGATTAAGGAAATGCCTTATATTAAGTTGAACCCTAACCCCCACCCAACCCCCACTCTAACCTCTAACCCTAACCCTGGTTTAATCTTAATCTGGCTCTAATCTAATCCCAATCTAAAAATGATTACCTTTTTTAATATTCCCGCCCCTGCGCGTCCAGCCTCCCTAATACTACGTGTGAGGATATGTTGCATTATTAGTCTTGAAAGGTCAAGTAGAGTACTATATAGAGGATGTTAGACGGCGGTGTACTTTTTTTACAAAGAAACGCCTGGGTACGGAGACAGGGTGTAGTATGCGATAGCAGACTGATCAGCACTGCCTCATTCTCGTACCCAGAGCCCTTCTTACACTCTGCCTCTGATATTAGTCTGCTGTTTCTCCGCAGCTCCAGTGGGGGAGGGGGGGCCGAGGGGGGGGGCTTCCGAGTCAGTCTGCTATCGCAGACTAACGGCGGTGGGAAGATATAAATTTTAATTTTTGAGTGAGTAAAAAATATTGTTTTCAGTTTTCACCACAAGAAGAT